GACGTGGTTTTAATGTTATTTGAACCAGGTCTTTCTTTCCTTTTTGGGGACACAACACTTTAAGTCTGATTTCAGTAACTTGGCATCCGTTTTAACAGTGGCTGCAGCTTTGTGCAGCTGCTGTGTGGCTCTCTGGTAACTCTCACAAACTCAACAAAGAGTTCCTCATTTTCCAGAACAGGGGCTGGCATGGCCACTTTCCTTAATGCTAGAGTTACACTGGAGACAAACAGTTGTTGGAAACAGTGGAACAATCAGAGTTCTTGGTCTGTGAGCAATGAACTTGCCACTGTCAGTCAAAGCGACTTTGGTTCATCAAGCTGGTCATAAACCAGCAATATGATGGTATCAGACCATTAACAGTTAATACAGCCTGTGATAAATCGTAAAAATCGCTAACTTGGTGCTGGATTTAACCTCAGAGGAAGTTTACTTGTTAGTTACTGACTTTCTCTGTTGGTCTTTATTTGTTCTTCTTCAGTTATTTCATATAGATTTTGGCCATTTCCTGGATCATAAGAAAAAGAAGTTTGGCTACAAAAGAGAGCGAGTGCCCTTTGTTCTGACACAAGACTTTCTCATCGTCATCAGCAAAGGATCCCAGGAGTGCGCAAAGACCAAAGAGTTCGAAAGGTACTCCAGTAATGTGTTTGTGTGTATGTTGTCTGGTCACTTCCTCAGTACCACACGATTGTATAAGAAGATTCACTTTTGTTAATCAAAGTCTACAATCACTTTAGGTTTCAGGAGATGTGTTATAAAGCCTACCTAGCCATCAGGCAGCACGCCAACCTCTTCATCAACCTGTTCTCCATGATGCTCGGCTCTGGCATGCCTGAGCTGCAGTCATTTGACGACATTGCCTACATTAGAAAGACGCTGGCACTGGAGAAAACAGAGCAGGTAAACGTGGCCATTCTCTAACAGTGTTTTGTTCTTTTAAAATCTTTTCAGCCCCACATTTGGCTTTCTTAAACTTCTGAATATGTGTTTTGGGTGGTTTGTTTTCTAATCTTTTATCTTGTATTGTTTTTCTTCACGCTGCAGGAGGCACTGGACTATTTCATGAAGCAGATGAATGATGCTCACCATGGAGGGTGGACCACCAAGATGGACTGGATATTCCACACAATTAGACAGCATGCACTAAACTGATGCTGCAGACAAACCCAATCCACCAGTCCCAGCATGGAGTACTTCACGCAGACGAGTCTTTCAAGGCTCTTCTCGTTTACAGCAGATATCACAAATGGCTCCCTGAGGATGGATGCTTGCAGCTTGATCTGTTTTTTCTTTACAGCATTTTTCTTTTTCTAAACGAGGCTCTTGTGTTTCTGTGGGTTTTTTGGGGGGGTTTTGTTTTTTGTTTGGTCTTGATGATGCCGTCCGAGTATCCGCTGCCTGTTTCAGGGTCTACATGGGAGCATTTTCCTGTTGCTGTGGAGGTGTACCCACCATGGCTATTATGCTTCCTCTGTATTTTTTTTTTAAACCACAACAGGAACAAACTGGCCAACCAAGGAAAATCTTATCCTTTTACTCCATTGCTCAGTGATAAAAACCAAAACTCGGAAAACTCAGTGTAAAGATGACATTTTTGCCAAGGTATAAATGTAGCCACACAGTTCAACCTGCTGCCCCCTCTGCTGTATTAGTGCTGCACACTTTCTCCACCTAGAATGGAGGTTGTTTTTTTTTTTCATTAGGAGCTAGTTGGCACAAGAAATAGTCTAAATTAGCTGCGGTTTGTTGTACAGTACGGGATAACTGGTGCACGGGAGCCTTTATGATGTCTTCCCCCATCTTTGTGGTGAAGTCGCCCCTTCGCAGATGATTTGGAGTTGTCTCTCCTTCCTTTGAACTCCTTGTGTGGAAACGTCAAGGTTGCAAATCTGCAGGAGAGTCTTTGAGTTGTTTTGCACAGATCTGTAGGCCTCCACCCTCCACTCCAAACAGCCTCATTGAGTCAGCACTTCACCCCAGAGATGGTGGTGCAGCTTTAGACTCTTGCATAAACTTCAGGGTGATGATGCCTTTCCATCAAAAAAACAGCACTTAGAGAATAATATACAGATTTATTATGACTTTTTAAATTTATTTATGTACCTAGTTTCTTTCAGTTTCAGCAAAAGGCAAAACCTGAACTTGACTCTTCAGAAACACGGTTTTGTTTTGTTTTTTCATTGTGTGTGTGCGTGTGTGTGCGTGTATCTGTAAATATAATTGAGGTTGAAGCATCTGTGTTACATGTTTGCAGCTTCACACTACCACCAGTGCTACCACTTACCCCTGTTACTTTACCCCTCAATTTTCAATTTTTTTATATTCACAAAGTAAGACTGATGTTGTTGTTTTGGGGGGTTTTAAGCTTTTTTTTCCTTATATTTAACATCTAATTTGGCCTTACCCGATTCGTTGTGGCTAGTTTACAGCCCTACTTGGGATAATTTGTTAAATGATGCAAAATGGAAAGCGTTAAAGTGCCAATATCACATTTGAAAAATGAGACCTATATTAAGCCTCTGGCTGTTTGTTTGTTTGTTTGTTGTTTTGTTTTGTTTTGTTTTTTGGCAAGCAGAGGCCCTGGGGAATGTCAAGTCTTCCTCTTGATTAAAAGCCTTGGCATCACAGCACAACACTGCACACTGTTGAGCCCTACAAACTCTGCCTAAGCAAACCCTGACAGCACTAAGTCAAAAAGCATGGCAGGCTTAGCGAATGATTTGACCGCCTTAGCGGTCCTTTTGACCTTGTTAGACTGGCGGGTCTTGACACATCTCTCATTAGAAAGTTGCTAAAATGTTGAAGTATATTTTAAATTGTGTTTTTGAAACATTTGATTTGAGGCTTGCAGTCTTTTGCCAAGTGGAGACACTGAATTATGTTGGTCTTGTATTTTTGTTTTTTGGTTGTTTGGGGATTGTTTTGTGTTTTTTACATTTGAAAATCACATTGAAATAGTAGCATGAGTGTCTCGAGGGGGAGGTTAGTTAGTTACGAGATGAAGTCCTCAGAAATTCAGCTGGAAGCCTCTGAAAGTGGGCGCTGGCTCAGCAGATATTGGATCGTTTATCCAGGTGGCAGAAAATGTATTGAAAGATGAAAAATTTAAACAGATTGTTTGCACTTTGGGGCAGCTTGGGGTCATGTGATTGGCACAATGAATATTCATATTAATGCTCAGTTTGTGTGTACAACCCAAGACGTGAAAAAAAGGTATAAAACCGTTTTGGGTTGGGGGGGTTGGGTGGGGGGCCTATGAGATACGAAGAAGAGTTAGCAGTGTTACATGAAGCAGCTTGGAAACTGTTGTTCCATAGTGTCTTTTGGGCAGGCCGTAGTTGGTGGAACTCGCAGTGTGCTCTGCTAAGGAGAGAATGTAGTATTTTACAAGAAATGGAGCCTCTCACGGTGCATGTAGGAAAGACACTAGGACACTACAGTATGAGACCCGGCGTGTCTGTGGGGAAACAGTCTGCACTTTGCCGCTTCAACTGCTGATTGTATAGAAAAGCCAAAGTTGTGTTCTGTCGCGATGCGGCGCGCGCACGTGCGTCACATCATTGCAGCATTAATGGCTAGAATGTATTCAGTCGCTAACATTGATGACTCATCTTTTTGCATCAGTAACGTGTTTCTGTCCCTACACAGCAGGTCATCAGCACAGAACGCATTCCTTTGTTTTCTCTACGTGCCAAATCGGACAGTATCGCTGATGTCTGCAAAAGCTGATGCTTGAACAGTGTCATGCAGTGAGGCATATTACAGACTTTTACAATTTAAAAAAAACAAACAAAAATACAAAAAATATTGTGGTATGCACTTAAAGAAAAACTCTAGTTCTCAATGCCTTTTTGTCCAGAAGGACTCTATAAGAAGAACGTTAGCCTAGTATGCATGCAGCATAACCAGTATGTATGTAAGATGTACATTTTGAAGCAGCATTAAGCAGTATGTATGTACAGTTACAGTCTAGCCTTTTTTCTATGGTAGGCTTCATGTGTAGTGTTCTCTTTAATATCCATGTACTCTCCAAACAAAGTGTGCGAGCGTGTGCGTGCTCCGTTCTGTACAGGTTGCAGAGCTTCATTGGCGGGCTCCAATGAAAACCCTACACACTGTGTGTATGTACATGTTCTGCCTCTGTGTGATGACACTAGCAGCAAAGGTGTCTTTAAATGTTTTATAAATCATTTTCTCTCCTGGCTGGTTTGTGCCAGAGAAGAAAAACAAACAGACACACAAAAATGCTGTTTTTTTGCATCATTTGCAAGGAAACATAAATGAGGGTAAACTTAGATTTTTTTTTTTTCTTTTTCATAAATTAGTCGTTTTACTTGAAGCACCATGAATCGAAACCACAGCTGTATTTTGTCAGTTTAGATTTGAGGTGTAAGGGGTCTGTGTGTGTTGTACCGATTGCTGAAGCATTGGTACAGGTTGCCTGTTTGACACCCTCAGTAAATGTTAGTGATGCCCAGAAATGCATTTTCAGCTAATGAAGAACTAAAGTTGCGCTTGAGTTCAAATTTTCTGAGATCAGGTGGCAGCTTTGACGTCACAGGGGAAAACGTAGGCGTCTTCTTTAGACCATGCTCATTTAAAACGTCTTCTAATCCCTCAGCTTTGGTGCTGAAGTGGTGCAGTAACTGTTACCATTTTCTCCCTGAACCGATTTTTTTTTTTTTTCTATCCTTTTAACCATCACATGGCTCAGCACAGGTTCAGATTTACAAATCATGCCATCACAGGATCTGATTTCTCTCCATTTGTTTCAGTTTAACTGTATGATTGGGTTATGTGCAGGGGACAGAGTATCACAAAGATACATCTCTGTTGTTTTGCAATCTTGCAGAGTCAGCTGACGTCAGAGATGACTGTTGGTTGTCTTTAAACCCCCTATGTGTCCAAAGAACCGAGAGCGGAGGGAAAATGGTTCACTGTGACCATAACAACACAAACACCAAGCGAATGTAAAAGTCTGCAGCCTCTGTGAAGACTATAGTGTGCTGCCTCTAGTCTGAGGTGTCTCTGTTACTGTTCCTATTTGTTTACCTGGTGTTCATGTTATTGTGTCCACCATCTTTTTAATTGTATGGAACCCGATATTTAGAAATGAAGCAACGACGGTCCCTCTCTCTCTCGGTGAATTGAACAGATGTGGAAGGGTTTGAACACTTAGACTTGCAGGGAATAAAAATATGGACAAAATATGTGAAATATTGATCATTTATATTCAATTTGGAGGTTCGGAAGTGTCTCAGACTCTCACACATGGCTACATGCTCTGTGGTTTCATTTTAATACTTTTTTCTTTGTTTTTTGGTATGCAGTACTAATATTTCCATAACATACCATGTTGTCAGAACTCTAGCCTATACTATGAATGAATGTACGCCGGGCCAATGTATTGTTACTCACAGCCTACCTGCATGATATTGGGTGAAGCTGAATACTCTTCCTGCTGCATTTTGTTTTCCTTTTTTTTTTTTATATTGTAGTCTAATAGGCAGCCATACAGACATTTATAAATGAATGCCTTAAGTTTGCTAGTTTCTAGGACAAGTTTGCCCTCACAGTAACCTGCTTTTTTATTTATAAATGTATGTTGTGTTTTGTTTTTGGGTCACTGGTCGAGGAGTAAAGGTTTGTACCCCGACTGACTGACTTACTGACTGACCGACTGACTGACTCATCATCTGAGTGTTCTGTGAAGATGTACAAATAAATTTGTTAAAGATTGACCCAGCTGTGTTTGCTCTGGCACTACAAACCTTGCAAAACATGAACATTTTCCACCAAATTTTAATTTTATTTTAAGCTTCAATGTGTAAGCATTTTATATTCACACATAAACCAGCACACAAACTGCTCTATCCTTTGATGAACTCAACTCTTTGATTCCAAACAGACATCGCTTTCTTGAGAGCCGTAAAATTAGAGTTCTGTCTTAATTTCAGTTTCTTTTCCTCAGTTTTCTTAAGACTTACAAGACCCTAAAAAAATTTTATTAACTGAACCCATCTGTTGTATCATTTGAAACCTGGCATCTTACAAGACGATCATCATCTCCCAAAACTCCCTGTAGCAACTAGAGAACTAGTCTGCAACAAAAACAAAAAACAATCTGCTGGAAGAGCGCAACAAGTGGAAATTTTCTGTTATGAATCTGGCTCCCTTGAGGAAAGAAATTATGACAACAGGTCTGTATTGATGAAGGTTCCATCTGCTGAGGGCTGTGGAGAAGCCGCTTCTACGGTAGCCTTGGTAGGAGCTGCAGAGTGGTGAGGCTTCAAAGCTTTCCAGGGCTTGGATGGGCAGTGGAAGAGGTGGTCTTTCGCATCTGCGTCACGTGAAACTGACGGTGTGGCAGATGTGGTGTCCTCCTCAGATGATTCTTTAGTTTTAGCTGTGGTGGGGGGTTGTGAGGGTGAAGATGGAGCTGTGGCATGGGGTTTGACTGAATGTAGTGTAAAGCGATTTGGGGTATTATGGTCTTGAGAAGCGCTATGCAGGCCATTACCATTACCATACAGGAAGTGCCTGAGAGGAGACCAGCCAGGAGGACGACGCCTGGTGAACGTCTGAAGAAAAAGCAAAGGATTTATAAGAAGATGGACTCGCTAATGGACCTTCCTAATCAGTGACCTCTGTGCAAAAGTCTCAAGCCATACCTCATTTGTTTATCATTTAATTCCAAGTAGCCTGACTTTCTTGTAAATTGTTGAAATGCTCTTGAACTGCAAGTATTTCTCCAGGCTTTCTTAAGGTCAAATATTTACTTTGGACATTGGCTGCTTTTTCACTCATATTCAGTCCAGTCCTTCTACCTGATCATTTCAGAAGAATATTCTTTCATTTGTTAAGCCACTTCACACTAACCTAACATAAAAAGGAATGAGCGAGTGTTAACACATAACAAAGAACTTAGCAAAGAACCCATTTTAAATTCTATCCTGGCTTTAAAGGCTGAGTTCTCAAAGTAAGAACCACAAATCTTCATCATTTCCAGCCACAAAACCAAGATGATTTTCTTCATATAGCCGTACTTTGCAATAATTTGGGATCAACTGTAATGTGACAAAAAATTCTGTTTTCTTTTTAAAAATTATTTCTTTTCTGTACGTTGACAGTGATTTCTGCGGAGTGATTAAAACAGAGCGTCTAATACGACAACCGACTGAAATGAGAATTCAGAGCCTAGTTAAACTTTTCCATTAAAGAAATGTGCTCACATTTCTTTTTCATGCAAACTGGTGCGTTTCTTTTAGATGGATAACACTTAATTTTCATAATTATAAAATTAATTTCCAATAACTTAGATGAAAGACTAAGATGGAATAATTTGAGGTGCACAAATTGGAAGGTTGGTGGTTAGATTCCCAGCCCTTCCAGTTCAAAATATCCCAAAGCAACCCAGATGGTAAACCCGCTGGTACATCCAGTGGAGTGGGAGAGTGAATATTAGCCAGTGCAGTTACTATGTGAATGGTTTTCATTTATTTCCTGCATTCTTGTCTACTCGCTCATGTTTGATCATCCTGTGAAAAGAGGGACTTACAGAGGGTGGCAATTGACCCGGTGCACACTCTATGTGGGCCTGTGGTGGCTCAAGTCTCCAAGGTGCTACATCCACTGTAGAGTTGCAGTTGGCATATTCCTGCAGATGCACAGAACACACAGTGAGAAGCACATCTTGGCTGGGGTGATTTGTGCATTAGTTTTGGTTTACCAGATTATTTTCGTCTGGGATGCATATCTCGTTCAGGTCTGTGTGTTCAGCCTTGGAACAGACGGTCTTCTTCATGTCAAAAATCAGCTTAAATCTGAAGCCAGCAACCACCTACACAAATACACGTGATGCGTAAAGACAAAAAAGGAAAGAAAAAGAGATGCCTGTCCTCCCCATTTTCGCTTCACTTCCATGCCACCTGCTGTACCTGTCTGGTGGTGTGGCCGATATTGTGCAGACTGAACAGGTGGGTAGAGTCAGACATGGAGTTGTACTTGGAGATGGAGACAGAAAGGGGAACCTTAAGGTCCTCGGAGTCTACATCGATGAGCTCTGGGCAGCCCATGCAAGATGCTTTCTCAGAAACGATGTGCCCTTCTACAGTGGAGAAAAATCTGAGTCATGGAAACGCATAAGCTCATATTCCAATAACTGCTCAAGGTTCAGGCAAACAGAGTTGGTTAAAGCTTTTCAAAAAGTGTCTAATGTTATTTATTTATGATGTTTTTAATCTAGTTAATTAATTAAAGAATGCCCCGAATTCAGGCTCCCTCTGGATGTGTTTAGATCAACACGACATGATCTCAGTGTGCTTGATGGAACACAAAACAGTCCCAAATAGTCTGTAATACAAACAGGCCAGTGAGAGAAAATATACTTTTTGTTTGTTTTTGGAATCTGGCGGTCATGGAGCATTGGGAGGAAAGCAAAGCCTCTAGAAAGCAACCCAGCTGCCTAATGGTTAAGACACCAGTGGGTATCTCCTAAAACCCAGTCCTGAAATCCCTTCCCAGGTGCTTTATCCCCCATACACACCTTGACACATGTGACCTTATACTTCACATAATGGTGGGTCGGGGCAGTGCCTCATAAAGGATCTGTGACAGAAATGACCGCATGCCTTGATTCACACCTCGGTTCATATGACCTTCATTGACTCACATCAGCACCAAGTGGGTCAAAAATGATCAGGACCACCTCCAAGGACACACTCCCACCAGGGGTTAAATACCAGGGACTGTCCTTGGGTGATTAAACTGAAGAAGAACTGAATCAAAAAGTCCACCAGCCTTCATTTCAAGCCCTTTTCATTTATCATTAAAAACTAGTAAATGTGCTGATGCCACCTATTTACTTAACCTAGCTTACTTTATTTCTTTACAACCAAATCGCACATGAAACAATCAAATACTACTTTAATGTACAAATACAGTTTGCAAGCTGAGCTTTAAAAACCTGCAAAATATCCTGTGAGTGGGAGAGAAAAACACAGGATTGATATACCGAACGCCTATATTTGACTGATTAAAGTCTAGACTGCGTCACTGCCTTTTATGGTGTTATAAGTTAATATTGTGCTTGCAGATAGTGTTGGCATGTTAGCCAATCAGCCCCCTTCTGTTTCCCCAGCAGCCCGCCAGTGCCCATTTCCCTCAGTGACTCACTGTTAGGTGGCTGTACTCTGGTAAACACATTCATGGTGTAAGAACTGTGGATATTTTTGGTTTTGATAATGATTTACGTTCCTTATGTGGGAATTTTGTCTCTAAAAGCAACTGGTTCTGTGTTAAAATGAGGTCCCAGTCAAAATGGATTCAATAGACCATGTTCTGCAGCAAGACAACAAAAAAACCCAAAGAAAAAAACAAGCTTTGAAAGGACTGTTAAAAACTTTAATCTGATGCTGAGTTTATTCACCCTCACTCACCAATCTGGCAGTCCACCTGCTTTGTCTCAGCCTTTGTCTCTGACATGAGGACGGTGGCGTTGCAAGAAATCGGCCCCTGAAGGGACACGACAGACCGTGCGACGGCTTTGTTTTTACTACAGCATTTAACAAGAACTTTAATATTTTCATACCACGAGTTGTTAAATGGGAGGAGGAGCTGATTATTGTTACCTTGCTTCCAGACTGCAAATAGTCACAGTCTGTCCAGGATTTGCTGCTGTCAGCTGTGCACTCGCTCTTCCAGGTAGTGAACTTCAGTGAGTACACTGAGTCTGAGCCATTCTCTGACTGGAGACACACACACACACACACACACACACACACACACACACACACACACACACACACACACACACACACACACACACACACACACACACACAAATATATGTAATCAGTGTGCACCAGAAGTCAAAGTGTCACAGGATCTTTGAATTTCTTGGTAATCGTCCCAGAGCATTGAATCCTCTTGTTTTTTAGCTTTGTAAGGAAAAACAGCCACAAGCTCAGTTTTAGTTGAATCCAACAAGCTTGATTCCCACTTATGTAACTTACGTAACAAAAAAGCTCATAAAATCTCACAGTATTGTTCTTCATGGTAACACATGTGTCTGCAGTCACTGTACCTTGCTGGCTTTCAGTATCTGAAAGAGGGCCAGCTTATGGCCGGTGCTCAGCCTCTCGTTGAATTTGTCCACAGCGCTGTGGACAGCCTTCTCCACAGACGGGTCATCACAAAAGATCAGGACACCAGACTGGACCTCCGCTGCCTCCTGGATGAAAAGAAGGAAGATGATGCACAGAATGATTTTTTTTAGAATAAAGCCAAAATGTTTTTGTAAATACCAATAGGCTCATTTCTTTTAAAATTGACAAAAACTGTCGTGTTTTCCAAAAGTGTTGTGATTTGTCTGATTTATTTTTAGCTTCTGTTTCTACATTTTTCTGCAATTTACTCAGAAGTAAATAAGGCTGTAAAACTTCATGTGTTCAGCTTTCAAAAACGTTGAGGTGACTTACTTTCCTTATTTGCGTATATTCACAAGTTATCCTTTAACTAATACTCTGCATGCAGGACTTTTCAGGTCAATACCCCGATATCAGAAAACAGCAGAGCACTTAAAAAGGTGCTGCACCACATTTGAAAGGCTTCTAAATTGTGGCATTGCACTGCAGCTTGTGCTAAAGTAAAAGATGTAAATGTTTCTTCATCCTCAGATTATCTGCAAAATGAAATTGCGTCATTTCAAAGGGTCACAAGAACTGAAATAAAGTACAGTACA